TGGCCTGGAACTCACTATGTAGACCAGGCTGGCCTCAAACTCACAAAGATTGCCTGCCTCTGCCTCCCAAGTGCTGGGATTCCAGATTTTTTTTTTTTATCTTGGTGACTTTATGTCTCCAGCTGGGAAAGCCAATAAATAATACTTATTTTTTTTTAACATTATTTGTGTGTGTATGTGTCGGGTTGGGGGGTGCCACAGCATGTGTGTGAAGGTTAGAGGACATCTTGCAGTTCTCTCCTAGCATGTGTTTCCCAGGGATCAAACTCAAGTTGGCAGGCTTAGTGGCATATGTCTTTACTTGCTGATCCATCCTGTAGGCCCTTCAACCTTTAATTGTACTGTTGATGTTGATCAGTGGCAGCTCTATCTTTTTAGCTGTCCAGGCCATACGTAATACTTGAATAGTATTTTGTTTTGTTTGTTTGTTTTTTTGAGATAGTGTCTCATGAGCTCCCAGGCTGACCTCTAACTCCATATGTAGATGAGTCTGCCCTTGAACTCCTGATCTTCCTGTCTCCATCTCCCAAGCACTGAGATTACAGACATGTGGTTCATTGCATGGCTTTCTTTCTTTCACAATCCTCCTCTAGTCTTTTGGCAAATACTGTTGTTCCTTCCACTCTATCCAGAATCTGTTCATTACCTCCACTATTCACTATGGCCCAACTGCCATCAGCTGTTCAGTGAATTATTACTGTAGCCTCCACTAAGTGTTCTTATGCTTCTAGCTAGTCTCAAGATAACAGCCAGAGTAATGCCTTTAAAAACCCCTCAGATCACTTTCCTCATTCCATACAATGCTGTGGTGGTATCTCATTTTTACCCAGAAAAGATCAAAGGTCTTTTTTTTAGACTTATTTTAAGTTTTTTTTTTTTTAATTCATGTGTATGTGTCTATGTGAGTGTATGCTGTATGTATTTGTGTGGTTGGCTACAGAGGCCACAAGAGGGAGTCAGATCCCCTGAAGGTAGAGTTATAGTCAGTTGTGAACTACTTGAGTGGGTGCTGGGAACTGAAAGCAGGTCCTTTGGAAAAACAGCAAGAAGTCTAAACAGTTTTGTTTGCTTGGTTGGTTGGTTGGTTTTTTGTTTTGTTTTGTTTTTTTGTCTTTTTGAGACAGGGTCTCCCTGTAGCCCCAGCTGGCTTGAAACTATGTAGACCAGGTTGGCCTGGAACTCACAAAGATCTGCCTGCCTCTGCCTCCCAAGTGCTGAGATTAAAGGTGTGCCCCACCATGCCTGGCCTCAGCACTTTTTTAAAATTTATTATTTTATGTGTATGAGTATATTGCCTGCATGTAAGTAAGTGTACCTATGTCATGCAATGCCTGTGGAGATCAAAAGAGGGCGTCAGACTGCCCTGGAACTGGAGTTAGGGATGTTTGTTAGCTGCCATGTGAGTACTGGGAACCAAACTTGGGTCCTCTGCAAAAATAGCCAGTGCTGTTAACCACTGAGCCATCTCTCAAGCTCCTCCAGCACTATTTTTTATTATTTTTAATTTGTGTGTGTGTAGGTGACGTTGGGAGGTCAGAGGCATCAGATTCCCTGGAGCTGAAGTGGTTGTGAGATACCGAATGTGGGTGTTAGGAACACAGCCCTGGTCCTCAGCAAGAGCAGTATGGGCTCGTAATTGCTGAGCCATCTCTCTAGCTCCAAAGCCAAAGTTCTTCAAGCTCTGCTGTGGTTTCCCTGATACTATCCTGATATTCTTTCCTTCTTACTCTGTTTTGAACCTTTCTAGCGATTGTTCCTTCTTCCCTCTGTTTGGAAATGTTCTTTTCCATGATGTCTTGGTAATCCTCTTACCTTCAAATCTTGGTGTAAACATCACTTCTGAGTCTTGACTTGAACACTTTATTTAGAGCTACAACCTTCCATCCTATTGCTGTATTTTTTCTTTTGAGACAGTCTTTCTATACACCCAGGGTGGCTTCAGCCTCGATCAGTCTGCCTCAGCCTGCTGCTACTCACGCTGTTTTGCTGCTCTTTCCCCCTGTGGCTCTTCTAACTTCTATCTCACTTTGTAGTATAGTATAAGATTTATTTATTTGTTGTTTATTTCTACTTGCTAACTTGAAAACTACTAGGGCCGGTTCTTGGTTGACACGTATTATGTGCATCTAGAACAGTAGCTGGCTCATGGTTACTATTTAGTAAAGATTTTAGTTTCTTTTAGTTAAGGAGCAGGATTTTACTGTAGCCTAAGCTGACCTACAGCTTACTCTGTAGTCCAACCTCTCCTTGAACTGCAGTGATCCTCCTATCTCAGCATCTTGTTTTGGGATTACAGGCATGAGCCACCCTGCCTCTGGCTGTTTAGTAAATATTTATTCATTGCTTTCTTCTCTCACTTCATATTTGCATTTGATTATCAAAACTTGTTGTCCTTGTGAATAGTGTTAGATTTCTCTACC